GCAAAGTGGGACAAAAAAAATGAAAATAATACTAAAAATGCATTCTCTGTTGTTGTTCTATGCAGTCACTTCCCAACAAGTAAATTAGTCAGTTACTAGGTAAACACCAAAAAATTGTGTTGTATCTGGTTTAACTGAAAATTTACAGAGTAGCACGAAAACATCAGTAATAAAAGACTAAAAGTCTGTTATATATAGTGGATGACACATGTACAATAAGAATAAGAACTAGAAATTACTAAATGAATGATTTCCTCTTGCCCTAAAAAGACTATGCTTTCCTCATGTGCAGAAAACTCCAACAAAAACTATTTACTGAGATCTCCGTCATCCCAGCTTACATGCATGCTAACAGCAGGTAAGTGGAATATAGTTCAGCGTGCCACAATTCGTTAATGCTCTGGGTGAGCTGCATAGCATGTCTATAACATAAATGATGCACTACTTTAGAGGACCTAATAACTTGTTTTGAGTATAGTTGATTTTGGAAGTTGGAAGTCTGTAAAGCACTGGACAATGATAGACAAAGTTCTGGATAACATAAACAGAAAGTTCATATGACGCTGTCATACGGTTGCAATTGCAATGCATGTCAAGTGCACATTTTCACTATGTATATTTGCCTGATGATAGAGTTTAATGGTCTAATGGAACAGCAGTAACGATAGAATAGACGATGAAATGTAGTCCTGTAAATATGTACCTTCCCTTGAGTTGTTGAACAAACAGTAGATGCCAATCCAATTCCAGCTCCTATTCCCATGACATTGAAAAGTGTTGAGATGGCTTCCCCTTTAGCAAATAAATCACTAAGGTTGCCTTCTTTGGCAAAAGAAGAGTAAATTGGAAGCCTTGTTGCTCTTGCTGCAACAACGGCCATTCCCTGCAATAAAAAGTAATGAATCATTTAACATAGCAGCTCAATTTTCAGGCAGAAAAAACAGGACAAATGCATTGCCTTTACAATGCTACCATTCTGTATGGTTATTTGAGACTATGTTAAGGGAAACATTTCTTACTCGTTCGTAAATATTAAAACACAACTTTGCATGCAAAATATCAAACAGAAGATTATATATATCATTTGTTTAATCTAAAGGGTGAAATACCAGTTAGAAAGGCAACCTTCGCAAAATTTCCCAAGCCTGCTACTTCAAGGAAAAGTTGTGGGCACAGAGGTGAAACGACTTCCAAGGCAGTACCAAGATCATAGAGAACATCAGCTGTCAAACACAGCAGTTAGCATTAATAATAGGAAAAATGGCAGTAGAAAATAAAATTGTGGACACAATGGTGAAGTGACTTCCAAGGCAGTGGCAAAATCATAAAGAACATCAGCTGTCAAACCACAGAAATAAGCATGAATAACATAATCTAGGGAAACAACAACAGAAAAGGGGAAAAAATGTAAAAGTATCAACATGACAAGCAAAAGAACAGAAATATCAGAAAGGAGGTCATAGGATAATATCATCATTTCTCACCAAGTATCCTCCAACTCTTTGGTTCGGAATCCATTCTTGCCCCCATGCTGCTACAAATGAGCTTTCCTGCGTGCTGCATTCCATCTTTTAGAATCTGAAATAGATAGAGAAAATCAGCCAATATGTTTCATAGCAGTACCTGCTTGAATGTTTAGCATCTCTGTCATCATATGCTTACCCAACTTAAAGCAGTTGCTTGAGCTGGGGTAGGTCGCAAACCTGCAGCAAATAGCAATGACTGAGCCACAGCCCACTTGGGCAGTCAGTTGACGAGCATAATTTTTTTTCCATAAACGAAGTGAACAGAAGTCAAAGATCTCAACATGCTTAGCAGTCTGTTCTGAAGACCAACCGTAATTTATGGAATCAACTCACACAAGATATGGAAAAGATTTACTGACCTGTGTTGACAGCACATGTAGCATAGCACTAGAGAAATGCTGTAGTGCTCGGAATCTGGTATAAGTTAAGTAACCCTCATTCACACTGCATGATTAATAGCAGAGACTTAACACAATAGGATGTATCCCAGCAGAATTATCTAGAATAGCAATGAGCCTAAGAACTTCATACCTGTATGGATAACCTGATGGAAAAAACTTGTTCAAGAAAGAATCAACAACTTTATCATGTATAGGTCTAGAATCCTGAATAACTTTTACCTGCAGGAAAAGAAGAGTTACGGACTGAAAGAAAATTAAATAAACCCTTAAGATATTGATGAAGTAAGATTTTACTAATTTTGCTACAGAATCATGTTTGCACACTTAGGTTATATGATTTTCATTTGTCCAAGCAAACATTTAGAGGTTGTATTTCAGGTAACAACGTGTACATTTCTGAGGTACATCGAGAGAAATCAAGGCCTATAGATATGTGTGCCATTGTGGCAAATCATTCACAACCAGAATTTTAGACTTCTCCTAGTGATGTGGGCTTCTCCTAGTGTATTAGCATTCAAAACTTAGTATAAACTTTCCCTACCAAATGCCTCCTAGTGAAGATTCCCATGTGCTATGACTAGTGGTAGTGTTTTATTACTACTTAAAAACACTAGGAGAATTCCACCATTTTTGTAGTGATTACTACCATCGAAATAAACAGCCTAGCAGCTCAGATACTGTGAGTAGTATTTAGCTATCTCCTTGATCTATAGTGCGAAGGGCGGGCCTGGTGCAAGCGGTAGAGTCTTACTGCCTGTGACCGGAAGGTCCCGGGTTCGAGTCGCGGTCTCCTCGCATTGCACAGGCGAGGGTAAGGCTTGCCACTAACACTCTTCCCCAGACCCCGCACAGAGCGGGAGCTCTCTGCACTGGGTACGCCCTTGATCTATAGTGCAATGTTCAAACTGCAGATGGCATAACCATTCCGAAGTTATATAACTTATAAGAGGGGTGACGAAGGATACGGGTTAATCAACATATTGAATCCCAGCAACAATTCAAGCAGGCAAATCATTTGACTACCCAACAAAAAATGTTTGAATTGTTGAGACGGTGGTCTATCACAACACTGATTGCAATCTGAAAATTTTTAAAGGCAAAACACCGACCAATCACAAAACCTTTTAACAGAAAACAGCTGTGCCAATCAGGAGAATGCTAGTGCCTAGGTGAATCACATTGGTCCCATTTCCCCCTTTACTCTTCCAATTTGTTTAATAAAATAAAAGTGCTAGCAGGGAACACCTACTCTGAAACTTACTGGAAGAAAGTAACGCATTCTCAGCTGATACTACCGTGTTAAGTTATCCCACGGGCAGATTTCTGTTCCCCCACAGAAACGATGAAGTCTGCGATATACTAGAACGATATGTGGTGCGGGATTCGGGAAATCAAGAGCTCCAGGTAAAAGAGAAGGCTTACAGAGATGCTGCCGCCACCACTACCAGCGGCGTCGAAGCTGCAGAGCCGTGAGACGGACTCCGAAATCTCCACCCAGCACACCGGCTGCGGGGGCGGCGGCTCCGTGGCGGCCGCCCTGTCGCCACCTCCACGTATCCTCTCCTGTGAGATATTTCGCGCAGAGAGGGGGGAAGGAAAAGGGCGGTTTCATTCAGCACGAGAAAACTATGCACGGCGAACAAAGCGTTGGAGCAACTGGTAGGGTCGAGGCGCCTCTGATTACGAGTATGTTCATCTAGGTTAGCTCGGAGGGCGGCACGGGAGCTCGAGCCTCGAGGTCGCCGACGCTTCAGCGCTGCCTTGACGCCACCCCTTCACGGCTGTTGCCTGGTGGGTGGCTGTTCTACCTCTCTCCGCCCGGTCACGGTGAGACCGAGACGCCGCCGAGCTCGGCGGACGGGATATGGGGAGTAGCAGGATTAGAAAGACGGCGGGGTGGGTTCCTCCGCCGACTCGCACGTCATCCGGCCCATGGTCCGTCACCCGCTACTTGATTGCGTCTGTGTGTTTCATTGTTTCCTCCGAGTCAGCCCAGACTCTAGTCGGTCAAGTTAGGCCGCAGGGTAGGAGGAGGCCGTAAGCCCATGACGGAGCCGAGCAGCCAGCACTTTCCTTTCCTTTCCTGTGTCACAAACTCAAAATCAAACGGTGGTGTGAATAAATAGAACACTGCACACTGAAGCACTCTAAACATGGGTGTAAAAAAAAAATTGAACTCCAAACTGATTTCTCCAAACTCACAGAATTGCAATGGCACGGGTCCAATTAACCCAATTAAATAATATTTTCGAAGCACAGCACAGGACCCTTAGACCTTAGGACATGTTTGTTTTAGCTTCAGCATAAATGTTGAGCTGGCTTTTGAGAAAAATGGTTTCTAATAAAATAAACTAAAAGCTAAAAAATATGTTCTAAGAAGCTTTCTGGACTTTTAGTATGATGAGAAGCTAAAACATTTATAAAAGGCAATAGCAAAAAAACAACAACCGAAAGACAAAACTCAGAAAGCCAGCTTTTGAATTAAAATTGTAAATACTAAAATTCAAACAAATAGGCCTCTAGGGATGGAGTGGTCTTTTTCTGCACATGAAATCAAATGTCACATGTTTTGAGACCTATTTGTGTGAAGTCCACGTTATGAATGGCAAACTGCGAACCGCAACGTCGGAAGTCCCAGATATCAAATTTCTCGGCACTTTCGTGGTTCTGCAATGAATACACGCACGTTTTGGTGAGTTTCGTCTAGAAATCCCGCCGGCCTTGGCCGCTTTCCTCCTCCCTCGAGGCCCTGGCCCATCAGTCGTCCAGAGATCAGCGAAACGACGAGCCGCCTGCCGCTCCGATGACTCGATGAGAACTCCAAGTTGGACGAACCGTTTGACCGAATACTCTAATCTCCGCGAAACAAAATCATTCCAGCGCTCGAACACCACCTGGGCGGCTGCGCCCAAACTCCCCCCCATCCGGCCATCCCATCCCCCAAAGGCTCCTCCGATCTGATTCCGAGCCCCGCCAGGCGCGCGCCAGCCATCTCCCGCTGCGTCGCACGTGCGCCCCACTCCATACTCGCGCTCCCCGCCCTCCCGAGCCGCGATCCCATCCGGCGGCCCCGATGCGGTCGCCGGCGCTCCTGGCCGCCGCCCTCGTCGCGGCGGCGCTCCTCGCTGCCGGTGCCGGGGTCGCGGTCGCGGCGGCCGCGACGGAGGAGGCCTACGTCACGCTGCTGTACGGCGACGAGTTCGTGCTCGGCGTGCGCGTCCTGGGGAAGTCCCTCCGCGACACCGGCACGCGGCGCGACATGGTCGTGCTCGTCTCCGACGGCGTCTCCGAGTACTCGCGGAAGCTCCTCCAGGTCTGCCGAAGCTCCGATCACTGTAATTTTAGTCTGGGTATTTTATCCCTTATTAAGGAGAATTGGGTAGCTCCCTGAAGTGTCTGCTGGAGTGCGTAGCTGCGCGGGGTTATTGTTGAGGCTGATGATGCTCATTTTAGAGCTGCTCACTGATCTCGCTGCCCAATTGGTTAGAATTTTGGGAAGGCTTGTACTGAATTTTGTGTCACAAGGGCTGTGGGGCTGTGGAGCTGGATGAGGATCTCCCCTTTGTTCCTATTGATTTCATGATGTGATCCCCGTACATCAACACATACTTTTATCATCTAAAAAACATCAACACATACTAAAATTAGTTTCAGGACATTAGTAGCATTTATGTTTCCTTGAGTTTGGACATTCAAGTCATGTAGATCTTGTGCCAGTTTGATCTGGTAGTGAAGCTGACCTTGCATATATTTCATCAGGCAGATGGTTGGATTGTGAATCGTATAACATTACTGGCTAATCCTAATCAAGTTAGGCCGAAGAGGTTTTGGGGTGTCTACACCAAGCTAAAGATATTTAACATGACAAGCTACAAAAAAGGTATGGCTTTCAGTGTCTTTTCTAGTTCATCGTTTTATCTTTCTGTATCACACATGGCTTTGATTTCGTTTTTGTTCATTGTTCTGATAAAATGCTGCTTTCCCAGTTGTTTACCTTGATGCAGATACTATAGTTGTGAAAAGTATCGAGGATCTTTTCAAGTGTGGCAAGTTTTGTGGAAACCTGAAGCATTCTGAAAGAATGAATTCCGGTGTGATGGTTGTTGAACCTTCTGCAACTCTTTTCAATGATATGATCAACAAAGTGGGTCAATTGCCTTCTTACACTGGAGGTCAGTGCTCTTCTTTTCCTGTTCTCTATGTTCCAATTTTTTGTTAACATAATTCCTTTATGAGCAGGCCATAGTACCAGCAGTCACTATTCCCTTTTATTTAGTCTCTTCTGGAAAACATATTGATTAAGATTAATGATTAGCAGCTTTTTAAGTGCATCGAAATATAATAGTACATGTCTAAGAGCTTATGATATGATGTTAATTGTTACAAGACATATTTTGTGGAGTATAGGAAATAGCTAATTATCTTCAAAGACTAATTACATAGCGTTGATTTTTTTATAAACAAAATAGCGTTGATAAGAAGGGCGGGCCTGGTGCAAGCGGTAGAGTCTTACCGCCTGTAACCGGAAGGTCCCGGGTTCGAGTCGCGGTCTCCTCGCATTGCATAGGCGAGGGTAAGGCTTGCCACTGACACCCTTCCCCAGACCCCGCACAGAGCGGGAGCTCTCTGCACTGGGTACGCCCTTTTTTAAAATAGCGTTGATAAAATAAGCCATCACTGCTTATATAACTGGCCTAAGGGCACGGTGGTAAATGAAAGTATGCAAGCACTCTACGACCTGCCACACCAGCCTCCATGGCGATCTTTCTGCAAGTTTTCCAGTGGCAGCACTTTTTCAGACTTTAGCCCTCTGTTGTGCCATTGATGATGGAGAAACATCATTTTCAGCTATCCAGTCCATGGCTGCACATGTACATTTTCATGCTTTAACAGAGCCTACATCCATTGTTTTTATGCTGTTACGATAGCCACTCCTATCTTCATTTGTTCTCTGTCCAAACAGTTGCTCCAGGGCTCCAGGCCTGCTGATACGAGATCGTTGCTCTGTTCTTTTTCTTCCCAGTGACGCTAAAATCCCTGGGAGCCTGGAATTTTCTCTTGATCAATATCTGTCTTTCCTTGGAATTTTTTAGGACTGAGGGTTAGGGTAAGATGGGATCTTCGAAAACAATATTTTACATATCCATTTGACATTTGCTTAGACAGGTCTATATTATCTAGAAGACACTTTATGTGGTGGATCATTTTGCTAGGGTTGAATGTATTACTTAGAACAGACTGGCTGTAGTTACAAGTTTACCAGTTATGTATGGCTTGTTTTCTTTTATTGTTTTTAGCGTGTTGGCAATTCAGCATTTTCAGTCTAATAGTTCTGATTTGGATGTTGAACTAATTCATGCAGGGGACCAAGGTTTTCTAAATTCATATTATTCTGATTTTGCCAACTCCCGTGTCTATGAGCCAGACTCGCCTTTAACTCCTGAACCGGAGACACAACGCCTTTCTACCTTGTATAATGCTGATGTTGGTCTTTACATGCTAGCAAACAAGGTAAGGCTCCTTATGTGTATTTGCATATTGATCAGGGCCCAGTGTATTGGCCAACTATCATGATTAAATGGTATATAAAAGCATTGCAATATGTTAACCCACTACATGATTGTTCCATTCACTTGATTTACCATCAGCACTCCTGTTTGTCAGAGCATGCCAACTATCAAAGGTTAACTAAAGTTTTGTCAGCCTTGTATGTCGTCAATCTTATGCAAGTTAATCATCAGAAAATCATTATTAATTGTATTGACCTTGTTCTGCTAGCCTTATCTAAGGAATATTACATTTGATCTACCTTCTTGCTCTCTCTAAACAGGACCACCCAAAATATGGTTCTGAATGTTCCAATTGGTTGTCTGGACTGTATTAGCATAATCATTTTAGCATTTCGATTTTATTGAAGAAGGTCTTTAGTTTCACAACCCCAAGCACCAGTGTTTATTTGTTTTATTATATTTTGAAATAGTTTGGTCTTCTGTTTAGAGTACAATTTTCAATATTTTGAGTACCCTTTGATTGTTATTTACATGTACTATAGCTTGGTTCTTGGGCCTGGTTATGGATCTGACTTTCTATTTTGTCATAGTGGATGGTTGATGAAAAGGAATTAAGAATCATCCATTACACGCTGGGTCCCCTAAAACCCTGGGACTGGTTCACAGCGTGGCTTGTAAAACCTGTTGAAACATGGCAGGTAATATTTCATTTTATCAACCGTTTCCTCACTTCATAGGCAATTTTCTAAGTAAAAAATAAATGTCAAGCATGTTGGCAATAAATTTATGCTCTCCATCGTTGCAGGATATTAGGCAAAAACTTGAAGAATCTCTTCCAGGAACTGGTGGGGAAGGAACCCTCATGACCAGCTGGTTGTCAAAATATTGTTCATTCTCCCATTTTGCTTGCTGTTATTTGGTTATTACCAATCATGTTTTCAGGTTATATGATCTGTTCCTTGTAGCAATTATTTTATTTAACATTTGTACACACATGATTTTGAAGATTCCCTGCCCTCTCAATTCGTCTATATGATTTTCTGACAGACAAACAAGGAGTTGATAAGTATAAGATCACTATGTGCATTTGCTAGAAGAGCTCGCCACAAATACAAGTCTGAAGAGTCACTTCCATCTTATTCAGTGGTGGGTTCATCGTCTGTATTTGGTATTTCAAACCAAAGGGTTAGCTCTCAACCTCTTCAGTGACAAATCTGCATTCCCACTTGAAATTTGCAGGCTACTCAATTTTGTTAATATGCCACCTTTAGGAACAATTATGAAACCTAAAAGACACTCTGTTTCATATTTTAAGTGCCTACTTCAGTCCTTGATCCACTGGCAGATCTAGCCCAAAGTTTAGGTAGGCCAAAGAGTAGATGTCATAGAAAAGGGATATCATACAGTTGTTCCGTGATACACAACTTTACAAATATATATAAGGAATTAAGGATATCACAGATATGGCGACCATACATGTACACTTAAAATTTGGAAAAAGGGGTTGTAAAGAGTTTAGAAAGGTCGATAACATTGAAAGCTGTGCCGTATGCGGTATGTATTCCTTGGCATGCTTCCTAATTTGAGCTCCAAACGACAATCAGTTTTGTCAAGTTTTATTACATGTGTCAATAGAAGGTACTTAGTATTCCCAACTTTTTCACCAAAGGCAACGATTGCAGGGGAGTTTGTATCACTATGGATCTGTTTGGTTGCCTGCAGTGTAGTTTACTCATGTTTAGTTGCCTGCAGAGGCTCATGCAGACTTGCACAGTGCTCAAAGCAGGTTTCGTGCAGCATTAGCTAGTATGGCAGATTTTGTGCACAAGCCGATGTGGCACACAAAAATGAAATTTCTCACCTTCCCCTCCTCTACTAGAACATGGCACAATGTAAGCAATCAAACACAATCTTAAAAAACACAGCTTGTCTGTGTAGGACAACTAAACACATAGACATTGCATATGTTTATGCAGGCTTGGGTTGTGTTGCATGCAAGCAACCAATCACACCCTATTTGTACTATCTCCAATTCACGCTTGTAAACTTTTCAACTGAAATCAGTATAATGGAATAAAGAGACTCGGCATTTTGTCTAATTCTTTCTACTTAAGAAATACATTGGCATTTTCCCTAACTATTCAAGGGCAATGCACCAACTGAAGAGATTCATTGTCACAACTAGAGACAAAGGCACAAAGCAAGTAGAAGCTTTTACATGTGAGCGTAGCAGAACAAGATGCTATCCTCTTTTGCCTAGGTGCACACCTTGCGCCGCGGCATGGCTGAGAGCCTGAGACTCAACTAATAGAATGGAATGAAAGCTATGTGCCAGATTTGGCCGTTTGGGGGTGCTGGCCGCTGAGGCGCTACTCTAGGGATATCTTTCAAGGCGAGAGCTACAGAGAGAGAAGTGGTTGTGCGCTCAGCCAGTACAACTATACATTTTGGCCCAGGCCCCCAACTCCCCAAGCCCAATTGTACACACCCTTCGATTCGCTTGTTTTCTCTCATCACCATCATAGTTTTTTTTGAAACAATGGCAGGAGCTCTGCCTTTCAATTAGGACGAATGAAGTTTATGTACAAGAAAGGATAGCCAAGCGTGGTGTCTAACACCACAAAAGGCTAACCCACTCACGCGACATGGCAGAGTACAACACAGAGGACCCACCCTACGATGCTAGACAGACAATCCATCTCTGCTTGATTCTAATATTTTTGACTAAAAACTTGGCTAGGAGGATGTCTTGCTCTATTGGAATTTTTAATTCTGGTTCTTTTCTTTTGCATCTTTGTATGATCTCCTTACCGAAACATATTGATTATATTATATTATATCGACTTGATGGTTCCTTGTCGTTCCTGCAGTTATCAAATGGACATTCGAAGCTACCTTCTTATTTTGAGGCAATCGCGGTGCTAGTCTGCTTCATGTCTGCTGGTTTCTCTCTTGCATTTGCTTTCATTATCATTCCACGGCAGGTTATGCCATGGACAGGTTTGCTACTGATGCTTGAGTGGACCTTTGTGGCATTCTTCTTATTGTTTGGGAGTTATCTCCGTTTTGTCTACCGGTGGGGAAGTATCAGTGCAAACCATGTGGGCTTTAGCAATTCTGATGCATCAGAGAATCATATGGGTCCAGGTATGTTGAACTATTTAGCCTCTCAAAGGGTTTCATCATCCTAGTATTAAACAGTTGGTCTTTTGCAGGCCATCAGCGAAATATGTCTGACTGCGACATGGATGCAACATTTTACTGGATAGGGATGGCAACTATAGCTACTATTACTGTATTGTTACCAACTATCTTGGGCATAACTGCATTGTTCACAAAGTAAGGCACCTGACTAGCCCCTTTGTATAAACTCCTGCATATGATTATATGAAGAATATAGGGAAGACTCAGCTGTAGTAGTTTCTTGAATATGTAGATATAGATCCCGTGTTCAGCATTTCCTGTATTATGATGCGAGAGAAGGTGTCTGGAACTTAATATTGGGGGTTGAGGCGATCTGAGGGTGTTGGTATGTAGGGTTTGGCCTATGACGGTTAAGGTTGTACTTGTGAACTTAACACATCATATATTTAGTTAGGGTCATATGTAATATGCTTAGGACAAACATTACAACCTAGTTTCAGAAAGTGAGTTTGCTTCTTCCATCCTTATATGATGGCTTTGTAGTGTAGAGTGCCAAATTCCAGATATAACTTAGATTCTAGCTTATAAATACAACTTTGAGTCTAGTAACTAATGCACATAAATTCATCGAAAGGGTTGAGTTATGCTTGCCAGTAAATGATGAGACTTACATTGTTTGATTTTAGCATGCCGGTAAGTGCTGAGTCCAATGTGTTCTTTCCTTTGGCAGGCTAGGATTAATGGTCGCTGGTGGTATTGTGCTTGCATCTTTTATGACATACGCAGCGGAGCATCTTGCAATCTCAGCCTTCAACAAGGGTCAGAAAGACAGAAATGCGTCAAGAACTCGAAGCTTTTGTTTTTAACGTTTAAGTAAAATCCATGTTGTATTTTAGGTAGGTTTGTGTACACAAAAGAATGATGATTCATTTTTAACACGTGGCTTCCTGCCCATGGCCCCTTTTTGTAGCGCTAATGTCACGCTAACTTGTGGTAAATAGGTTTCCGACGTTGTTTCAGTAGCACAGTTGGCATGGAGCTTACAGACCTGCACAGTACATCTTGTTTATATTTCGCAAAAAAACATCTTGTTTGTAGAAGCATTCACCGCAATTTGTTTGTTATATATAGTACGTATATTGCTCATTACTCTAGCGTGTTACTGTAATGGCAGTTTCTGCAAGAACATAAATTGATCGTTGGTTAAAAGTAGAATTTTGGAATCGTGGCCCACTTTTACTGGCTTCTATTGATGTTAATGGTGACGTAGTATAAAAAAAAGGGAATGTTATATCTATGAAAACTGTTATGCCTTCTGTCCTAAAATAAGTGTTATTATGGTATTCGTGCAGGTCAAGATTTTTTTTTAAAAATATTAGCAATATTTGTATTCAAAAGAATTTATTATGAAAATAGATTCAACGATCCATTTAATGATACTAATTATACCATAAATAATAATATTTTTTATAGATTTAGTCAATTAAAAGCATTTGAATTCTCGAGACGTAAGAACGACACTTAATTTGAGACGGCGGGAGCACATTACTGGAAAAATGGATCAAGTGCGGGTACTATCACAGACCTGAAAGTTAACTGCATACTATACTTTTATCAAGTCAATGTCAGTAGCTTTTTCATAGTAACTTCATGAGTTACCATACACCCTCTCCGTCCAAAACAAAAACAATTCTAGCTTTCTCTCAAATCAATCCATCTCAAATCTCAAATTTAACAAATATAATATAAAAAACTCCTACTAAATAATTATTTTTAGATTTATTATGGAATATATTTTTTGTAGTGTTTTTCAATTTCTAGTCATAAAAATGTTGGCATTATTTTATATAAAATATAAATCTATGGCACATGGCTAGTTACTGGCTGGGACTAAAAATTAGTCAAAATTAGTTGTGTTGGCTAGCTAGTTGGCTAACAACTAATTGAAGACAGCTTAAAAAATTAGCTATCTTGTTTGGATGCATTTGAGCTAGTTTTGGCTAATTTTTATCTAGCTAGCAATTAGTTCTTGTATCAAACAGATCCTTAAAAAGTTTGACTCATGCTAGATTTAAAAGTACATGTGCAATTTTTTAGGGCAGAGATAGTATTATCAAACTATGTAGTTTTTTCTATAAGATCAAACTATGTAGTTGCCGAAGACCTTTAGAACCTAGCAGTTAGGTAGTTAACTACTACTTCCGTGTTAGAAAGAATATAAATCTGACTTTTCAAGATAAGATTAGTGTATGTGTTAAATTATGTATTCACCCATACTCTATCACTCTAGAAACTAAAAAACAATGGTATTCCGGAATGTTCTTCTTATGAATGAATAGAATATGATAGTTTTTAAGACATGCAGTGGTATTTTTGTAGTGGTATTTTTAATATGTGGGTCATATTGAAAAAATTGATTTTAAGTCTAGATTTACATTCTTTTTGAGACAAAATTTGAAATCCAGGATTACATTCTTTTTCGGACGGAGGGAGTAGTTATAACAATTGGTTACAATAGATACGAGCCGATAAGATCTCCATGTCTACTTTATACTAGAGTAATTTGCAAGATGAATAAACTGGCGAGAGCACCGCACTAAAGCCACTTGTGTGAAATGTAAAAAGCCCAGATTCTTTGCAGCACTCGCGTGCTGCGGGCAGCACGCCATCGCATTCTTTGGCAAGGTCCGGCAGGCAAGTGGCAAGTGGCAGCAGATCACCGTGAGGCCGTGATAGGCGCGTCATAGGCGCGGACGACCTGCTTATATCGCTACATTATCTTATCTTATTGCATCATCAGGGCACACCGGTTCGCCCTCCGTTGTCCGTTACCGTCACGTACGGCTGGCTGGCCGCGAACGGGGGACTGGGGACAGACCGGTCATCTGTGGCCTCCCCGCGAGACCGCGCGCATGCGTGGTCCCGCTCCCGCGATCGCCGATTGGCCGGAGCTCGGAGGCCCGGACGCTGGAGTCTGGACGTGCCCCCGTGCGATTGGTCGCCAGTCGCCGCCCGTACCGTACCTTGGCTGTCCTGGAAGGCCCGGGCCCACTGGGCCACTAGTTTGGCATAAAACGGCCGAAACGTTCCCGGATTCAGGAGAGGAGACGAGCACATCTGCAGCTCCGAACGGAGGGTCCTTGTTTTAGACAGTCTCCGACAGTCCTCACCTAAATACAAGATGCATTCGTTCGTTTGGGTCTCGATAGGAAAAAGAGAGTCATGCACATGCACCCAAACCTTCCCGTTTCCAACAGCAGACCAAAAAGAAAGAGCCCCGAGCGGCCGAGCCTCCGAAGCGCCGAGCAGATCCCGCTTCTCCACCGGGCGACGCCCCAGAGCCCTGGCCCCACCTGCCGCTATGAGCTCGTCGGCGTCCTTGCCTCGACCACCGCTCACCGTCTGCAAGCCACCGAGACCACGACCGCGCCAAGCCCTAAGCCAGCAGCTGACGCCGCCTCTGCCGCCTCGGTGGCCGATCACAAGACGAGCCCCGGCGACCCCCCCCTGTTGCTCATGGGCCTCCTCCTCCCTCCCAAGAAATGCGGTGAGCACAACTCGAGATCCCGGGCGGAGAGCTCCTCCCTGTGGCCTCCCTCCTCCGGCGTTCCCTCCCCGCGAGATCCGTGCCAGCTGCTGGCGATCGCCAGTGAAGCACCTCCGCTTCACTGGCGTTGCTCATCACCGTGGCGTGGGGAGAGGTCCCAGATCTGGCGAGGCGGCCAAGGCCAGTGACTCGGAGGTGCTCCCACCGGCGAGCTTCGCCTCGCAAAGCTAGCCACGCCTGCCATGTGTCCCACTTTGCTTGTGCTGGCTGCTCCCACCCGCCGCCTCACGGGCCCACCACTACGGGCGCGGAGGGTTTTGCGTCTTGAGAGAGACAGCGCAAATAAGCGTCTGGTTCGCCTCGTACCCAAAATGCGTGCTTTGTTTGCGTCTTTGTTGGGCATTTTTTTTTCTGACTAAAAATCATGCCACGACTTATTTTGGATTTACGTCTCATTTTGCATGAGCTGTTGGAGACAGTCTTACGCGGGCCCCGTTGGGTGTCTTGTTTCCGAAGGGGCCCGCTGGGGTTTGGAGCGGCATACACGGGCGGGCTGTGTTGAGGTGGCTGGCTCGGGTGCTCCTGAAGGAGTGTGTGGTCATAGTTTAACCAAAACCGGACAGAAACAACTAGAATCGAAACCGAAAGAACCCGAACTAAAAGTTTGGTTTCTTATTCGGTTCCGGCTCTCAGTTAACTGAATAATTGAAAACCGAAATACATGAACTATACTTCACTTATATTTTATAAGACTATGTTTGATTTATGTGTGATGCCTCATATATTAAATTGTTGTATATATTTGTGCTACTATATTGTTATTGTTACTTTATCAATTATTATTATTATCTAAAATAGAGGTAGTGCTACCTAAATTTTGCTTCAGTATATGTATTTTTTTTGTCTTAACCTCTACTGAAAAAAATTAGGTTAGTTTAGTTAGAATCGGAACTGAACTATAATGCTCCGTTCCTAAACTTTTAGAACCAATCGGTTTCCATTTTCTAGGTACAGAATTCTTCAAAAAGACAAGAAACCGAATGCTCGCCCCTATCCTCAAGTGCTCACGGACTCACAGTGGATTGAACAAAAAGCTCATTGAGCTGGCTCAGTGGCTCCTCTCAAAAGTGCTCTGATTGAACTTGTTTTTTTTAAATGAAAAAAAAAATGATTTTGAATGACTTCCGACTTCAGCTCAGCTTGTTAAGCTCGGCTGAAGTTGGTTCTCAAATAATTCAGGAGACTATAATAAATAAGATTATATAAATTTTAAATCACTTTCCTGGGGATTGTCTGCTTTGGATTTCGAACTTCGCTTTCATGTTTGCTGAAATGCTAGTAGGTATGCGTAGAGAAGCTCTTCACTTCTTCAAATTTTTACACTAAAAAACTTCCCAATGTCTATATTTTAGTGTAAAAATACAGAGTAGATATTCGTTGTGCCCATCTTAACATTCAGATCAAAATCGTATTCAATTTTTTTTTTCAAAAAAAAAAATTGTGGACAAATAGGCCCATTAATGGAATAGAGCTCAATTGGTCTTCAGCCTGTTCGGTTGGTTGGTTCGTATCGTTGCTGGTTTGTTTATGTGAGAAAAAAAATCATCGCTAAGCTGGTTCATGTAAATAGTGTCTATGTGAGGAGGCTGGCCACCCCAGCCAGCCCCAACCGTTATGAATGGGATGTGTGGACACTGACATGGACTACTAACTACTGCTTTGTTTCCGTTTTGAATTGTATGTTCTTTTGGCTTTTTCTAAGGGCATGCTTGATCTCACGGACTAATAACTAGTTGGCTAAAGTTTAGCTTTTGAGGATCAAATAGGTGGACTAGTGGTTGGTCTAACAGCTTGCCAAAGTCCTAATTAGTTGTTAGTTCACTAGTCCATACAACCCAACTAATTAGACTAATCACTAGTTCTAGTTCATCCAAATAGGCCCTAAGTACATAGTTATTATTATACATCTAGATATATATTGTCTATTTGTATAATAAAGGCTATGTATCTAGAAAGATGAACAACTAAAATTTAGAATGTAGGTATAGTATTAAGTACTTCCTTCGTCACAAAAATATATTTTACTTTTAAAAATAAACTAATAAATATACAAAATAGTACTATCTTCGTTTCGAATTATAAGATGT